AATTGTTCCTCCTTTATTTAATTGTCAACAGATAAGGTGTTGAGTGCTAATTATGTGTCAAGCACTGTACTGGGCACTAGAAAACCAAGATTAATAGGATTAAGGCTTCCTTCCTCATGCTTCACTGGAGGTGACAGAAACTCACACTTATTTGAAAGATGGTGTGAAAAGTGTGAACAGTAGGAATATGGACAGAATTCTGGACCTAAGTTTCTTGCAAAACCAGCTTATAACAAGGTTAAGTTCAGTCAAACACAACAAGATTTTTCACCACTACCTCTCCCCGCCCCTCAGAATGATTTTCATTTGATTAAACATAATTGTTATTTCCTCAAATTGGTTGCTTGGCTTTTCTAAAATAGAAAAGAAACACACTCAAACGTCACATATTTTGGATCCATTAAGTTATGTACAGATAAATTTTGGCCCACAGTCCAAACCTGGCTCATCACTATTCTTTGTAAATAAAGATTTATTGGAATACAGCCACTCTCATTTACGTACTGTCTATGGCTGCTTCTGTGCTATCATGGTGGCAGCAGAGGCCCTATGGCTCTCACAGCTGAAAATATTTTCCATCTAGCCCTTTAAGAAGCAGCTTGCTGACCTTTGAACTATGACACCAGTACTTTATTGTTGATTTCTTTCCTGCAATTTTCCCCCAAGTTTATGACTTCTTTCATTTTATCACCTGGCAGGGACAAATCTTTGCCTTTAATGTGAATAGATAAAACAAACTTAATAACACACTTTCACGGTGAAGAGTCCACTAGAACTTTAAAATCACACATGGAATACATGGGCTATTTTTGTTGCACCTGACGCCCTTATGTCGAGAGCCAAATGGTGGAACCAGCTCCAGGAAGTTCGACAGGAGCTCCGTGGAGCCCAGGTGACGGCTGGCTGCTGAGTAGAGGGAGGTGTTTCTGAAGCAAGAGCCACACCAACTGGGAGTTCTTATTACTTCATTATTAAACTCTACTGATGATTGGATTTCTGCTGTCACATGACAGCTTTAATAAACGTCTACCTATCAGAGCTTAGTTCTTTAGATCTAGTTGAATATAGTTTTCTATTCTGGTATAAATTTAAGAAACTTGCTTTTTTTCCATTATCTGGCTAAGTCCAACCAGTTCCTACTCAGTTCTTAAGTACACAAAAATAAACAGGAGACTGTTCTTGACCTCAAAATGTTTCCACTTGGAGACAGAAAATTTTTAAATAATATAGTAAGTGATAAAATAGAATCAAACAGCAGTTACCGGAGGAACTGTATGTTCCTAGTGACTTCCTGGTAGCAAAGAGCCGAGGCTTAGGAGGTAAAGTGTCAACGAAATGCAAAAAAAGACTGAAAAGGCCTTTTCCCCCGCAGAGAAGCTTAAGCAGAGGTATGGAGGGGTGAGAGAACATGGTGCTCGTCATAGCACCCAAGCACGTACTCCTTGGGGATGCGGCTGGAGAGCGACTGAGGAGCCAAGTCAGGGGACTTTGCTTTAAAAGGAGCTTTAACTTGAAGGTGATGGGAGTTATTTAAGGGCTTTGGACGCGGAGTGACATAGGCAGATGTGTCTTTTACATAGATCCTTCAGAGGAAAGAAATACTGAGGGCAGGAGTTGAGAGACTACTGGTATAGTCCTTGCTGAGAGATGATGAAGACCATAGAGGGGACAAACAAGGAGACTATTTGGGGGGAAAATGAGAAATGCACTCCTGTTCAACTTGCAGCCTTGGACAATTCATTGTCATTCACGTTTAACATTTCCAATTCTGAACCTCATTTACATGGACAGCTATTACCTAAAACAGGAGGATTCTGGGGGGAAAAACAAGATTGTCTTTTAGTTCAATATAATGTTCTAAAAAAAGGAATGATTTTCAAAAGGTTTGTACCCTGGAAATAGATTTGGGCTGTGGAGGCAGGAATAGCTACACGGTCATTGCCACAAAGATACTTGGGCCAACACCAAGTCCTGTTCTAATTAGGTTTTTCACCTTTACTTGTGCCATCAGAGATTGTTTTCAGTTCTCTGTTCTCGCTTCCAGATATCTACTTTTCCTTTAACAAATTAGCACCTAAGGTTTATTAATTCCATCAACAGATGGTCCTGACACCTACAAGTCTCACCATGAAAACGTTTGGATTTTTAATCAGGATGTTCTTGGCCCATGTGGAATTCTTCCCCAGCCTGCATAAATAGCTTGAGGCCTTCAGGCATTTCAATGAGCCTCAGCTGGTTGAGCTGTTGGCAAACTGAACTTCACCCTCCAGTCTCCCCAGCGCTTCCCCTGTGCTGCACTCAGAGAATTCCAAATGCCAAAGAAAGAGACTGGGCTAAAATCCTTCCTGAAAAGGATGTCTTGGAGAACCACTGTTTGCTCTGAGCCTGTGACTCTGGAGGCTTTTAGGAGGAAGGTGGCTCTCCACCCCGTCCTGGTGGAAGATGGAAAGACGTGGGTGCCAATGTCCAATCAACCTGCTGACAAGGGTGTTTCCTGTAAAGTGAATGTTCACACTCCCATTTGCCATGACAAGCCTAGTGAAAATGTATAGACTACTCGAAATGGCCACTTCCGAAGCCCATCTCCTTTTATACAGCAATTTATATGCCACAACTTAGACACATCATCAACAAAAAGAGATCCAGGCTACGCTAGCCAGATGGTCAGGCACATGAGTCCTGGTTATTTCCAATCATGTTCTCACTACACACCCATCTTCCTCTCCATGATATTACTGTAGGCCATGATAATCTCTGTCAAATGTGGTTCAGTTCCAACTATATGCAAGGAGATATGCCAGAATTGAAAGAGGGTTTAAGAGAGCCCAATAAGCATTTATGCTTTCTAAGGGCCAGGTACTGTCCTAGACACTGCAGATAAAAAGATGAATTTCACATGAGCCCCATCCTCCTGGAGTGCACAGTCTAGTGGGGAGACATCCAAGCTGGGAATGGCATATACAATGCAAAACTCCAAGACAGAGATGAGGCCCAGAATGAGACCCCAGGTGCAGGATCAACCAAACTCTCCTTTTAAAGGCTTCAAGGAGAAGAAGATGTGGGATATGGATTCCCAAAGAATGAGTTCCATAGGCCGAGCAATGAGGAAGAAGAAGTATTTGTGTTGCTCCTGACACACATACACCGAGAGACAGATGGTGGTAGCGGCTCAGTACCCAGCTGATGACTGGCTGCTGAGGCGGAGGGAGGCGTCTCTGAAGCGAGCACCACATCAAACAATGAAGAACTGGCCACATTCGGGGCAGCTCCCTTCTCTTCCAGCCTCCTAGGCAGTTCCACAATCCTAGTTTTCCAGGCTCCAGTTTGAAAGTGATCAGACAGGGAGCAATAAGCCAAAAAGGGGGCAGTTGTTTTGGAAGGACTTTTCCATCACTTATTCCTTCAACAGTTAGTTTTCAAATTTTGATATTCATCAGAATCACCCAGGGCAGCCGTCCTTAAAGTGTAGTCCCTGGACCAGCAGCAGCAGCCTCACCTGGGAACTTGTTGAAATGCAGATTCTCAGGCCCCACCCCAGAACTGCTCAGTCAGAAACTCGGAGGGTGAGCCTAACAATGTGTGTTTTAATGACCCCTCCAGGTGATTCTGATGCACTCTCAAATCCACATTACTGGGGTCACTTGGACCTGGTATTCAGCTCCTCGCTTGCTATGCCATTTCCTATCTAACAACCTCTCCAGGCCTCAGTGGTTGCATCTGTAAAATGGGAGCAGTGATACTGACCACGTGGGCTTGTCAGGATTAGAGATGATGCGTCTGAAGTACCTGATGAAGTTCCTGACACTTGGTGTCTTAGCTCAGGCTGCTGTAATGAAGTACCACAGACTGGGTGGCTTATAAACAACAGAAATTGATTCCTCACTGTTCTGGAGCCTGGAAGTCTGAGATTAGGGTGCCAGCATGGTCAGGTTCTGTGAGAGTCCTTTTCCTGGGTGCAGACTGCCAATTTATATCTTCACATGGGGAAAGAAAGCTCTCTGTAGTCCTTTTATAAGAGCACCAATCCATTCATGAGAACACCACACTCATGACCTAATTACCTCCCCAAAGCCTCACCTCCTAATATGATCATATGGGGGGGTGGAGTTGCAACATATGAATTTAGGGACATACAAACATTGAGTCCATAATAATTGGAAACAAGTAATAACCGACAGCTGCCATAACTGCCGTGACTGTTGTCCTGGGCCCAACTCCCTGCTCGTTGCAGTGGATGGTTACCAGAAAAACACCCCCTGGAAGTAGGTGGTAGTCATTCTTGAATCAAAACTGACTAAACCAACTCAGGAAAGCATATAAAGAGTATGCTGCTGTGGAGGGGTTCTGAGCACGGTGACCTCCTTTCCCTGTCCTAAGCTTCCTGCTTCTGGGCCATGTTCAGTCAGCACTGTTTGGGTCCTTGAAGTACTAACTGTTCCTCTTGTCCCCTTTCTGCCCAGGGCACACCTGTGCCTGGTTCTACCTGTAGCCCACTGCCTGTCACAAAGGCCTGTCATCTAGATGCAGACTCATACAGAAGGATATGGAGAGGAGGAATTCCCGTCTGGATTGGGCTGTTTGATGAGATGGTCTATAGGACCCTTCGAAACCTAAGGGGCTAGGATCCCCCTAGCGCTACTTGACCAGATGCCCAACAAGTTGCTCTGAAGTCTTTGCCAGCAAACATCTCTCCAGAAAGTTTACTCTTGATCCAGTGACCCCCTTCACAACCCACTTCTCCCAAGACCTTTCTCAGTATATTCCTGGAATGTCAAGGCTGACTTCAAGAATATAATCTTGAAACAAAATCCTGTCCTCTCTTGATACAGAGTGACGTAGTAGCTCATTTTTTTTAAATTAGTTTGCCTTAAATGATGCTACCTAGATCACGCCTATGCAACTTAATCTCTGTTTCTCTCTCTCTCGCTCTCACTTATACACACACACACACACAATCAAAAGAAAAAGTATTCTAGAACTCAGAAGAAAAACACCGTGGCTCCCATTTGTCATAGGAAAGACCGTCTTGAATCCAAGTTCATGATTCCCTGCAGGCTCATGCAAAATGCTTTCTTCCTGAGATTTTAGCTGAGCATTGGCAGCTTAAACAGTCAAACTAGCACCTCCAGCAGTAAATAGCGTTGACTACAGCCTTAAAAACTGTCTCTTGCACAAGAAAGGTTGAGGTAAGTAATGCAAATCACAAAGACTGGCAGGTGCTACCCTGTACAGAGTAGGGAGAGAAGACACGACAGAAGGGTCAGGAGAATGCATCGCCCCGAGTGAGCGAGGAGGTTTAGGTGAGGCATCCACATGTTTAAGAGATTTGTCTGGGCGTGTTGTCTTGCAGCTGAATTGAATGCTCAGTGAATTAGGAGTTCCTGTCCACCAAGAAACAGCCACTCCCGTTCTGTTCTTCTAGCTGAGGCTTGTGAGTGTGAGTTCATTTTGAGAGTGTGTGACAGTGACAATCAAAACACAGAATCTTCCAGGACCTCAAATCCAGGCTCTTCCACATAACTTATGACTTCAATTTCTGTTTCATTGGAACCGGTTTTCTGCAAAACAAAACATCCTTCCTTAGATGTCTTTTAGAGAACTTTTCATTTCTTAATTTCTTTACAATTGGTTTTAAGTCTGTTTTGCTTATAAAAATAGTAAATGTTCACTGAAGAAAATGTGGAAAATCAAGTAGAAAGAAGACAAAAAAATACCCATATGCTTACCTCACAAAGATAGCCCACTGTTTCTCTTAAGCCCTTTTTTCTAGGTGTGAAGTTATTTTACAGTTATATGAAGGCGAATGGATAAACGGCTTTATAAATTGGTTTCTTTCTGTGTAACATCATAGAATATTTTAAATTATATTGTTATATATTCTCTGGCTGCATCGTTTGAGTAACTCCATGATATTCCATCCGTCAAGGAAGTAGGAGGGACCGTTAATGTTCTCCTAAATTTGGATATTTGTTATGTCCAATTTGGGCTATTATAAATAATGCAGATATTAATTAGAAAATTTGTGACAAAAAATACCACCTATACAAGATCTTATTCCTCTACCTTATTTACTCATTCGACACATTTAATGTCTGCTCTACACCGGACGCTGTGCTATGCATTGAGTATGCAGCGAGGAGCACAGCAGACGTGGTCTCTGCCTTATGTACTTAACTAGTCTAGCGTCTACACTTTTGGAAGGAACCCTCTCTGGTTACCATTGTAGAAACAAAGAACAGCTTTAAACTACCCTCTAACAAATTGAAAGCTCTCAATAAGATTTTTGAAATAAGCCTTCTTTTTTTATTGCTAAAGGTCAACTTATCCCCCTCCTTCATCCCTCCCAGTATCTATCTCTTGAATATTACAAAACAATTTCTAACTAAGATCTGGACAAGGAAAAACTGGCTTAACAAGACCTCTGCGATGGCAGCTGCCCTCCAAATCCCAGGACTGCAGGTACGCATGCCAAGCTCAGAGGCGTGAGTCATAATTAAACGCCGAGGGTTTCCTTTCCCACTAGCTGAACGCTTCCCAGTGGTTTGGCAAACTGTCACTGCCGATAGCACCAATTGGCCCCCTTGTCATCCTTGTCACAGAGACCCCAAGAGTGGGTTGGATAGGTTCTGCCTTTGAAGGTAGAGGCTAGGGAACCGCCATGTGGCCCAGCTGTGGTCAGCTCTGCACTTGCTCACATATTCTTTACGTTCCCAATTCTCCCTGCTCTGTCTCTCTCTCACTGGTCTGTTTTTATGTGAAACTACAATGTGAGAAGAGAGTACGTTGTCCTGAGGAGCTTGGCAGTGCTGAGCTGTGACATTAATCCTTTTCTTTTTCAGAACCCAGCTTGGCTACCCCAAGTTGTTATTTTGCACACATGACTTGATCTTAATTAACGACAAACCACAAGCTTATACAATAAGCTCGTAAGCCAGTTTCTTTTACCGACCTCAGAATATTAAAGGAAGTCTTTGGGGGCTCCGTAGGGAAATTAGATACCAGCAGGAAGATGTTCCATTAAGAGGCTGGGACAAATGACTTCAGTCTGCTGCTTGAATCAAATGTAGTTTCTCAGGGATGAGTATGTTAGAGCAAGGAGGGATTGACAACACAGATTCAGGTGAACTGAAACAAGGTTTCACGCGGGGACCAGCTCTCCTTCCAGAAAAGCTGTGGGTTAATAAGAGCAAACTAGCTGTTCCCCTGATAAAGAACAACACAAGGATTGAACTAAGGGGTTCTTTCACCAGGCCCAATTCTCTGCTTCACTAGGTTAGTAACTATCATTGTCTACAATCATTTCAAACACCCAAACTGCAAACTCTAAAGAAAGGTCACAGCTTGTTGAAATGATCCATTTTGGTGCGTGTCTGATCAACCCTTTCCTGCCCCTGCAACCAGTCACCGGTTGGTTCATCTGAACATGAGTCACTTTGTTACAGAAAAGACTAAATTTGTTAAGAAAATTGCTTGATCTACATCAGGGGCCAGCAAACTAGAACCTGTGGGCCAAATCTGGCTTGTTGCTTGTTTTTATAAATAAACTTTTATTGGCAAAGAGCCAAGCTCTTTCATTTGCATATTGTCTGTGTCTGCTTTCACACTCTGATGGCAGTGTTGAATAATTGAGATAAATCATTTGGCCCTCAAATGTTTACTGTCTGTCTCTTTATAGAAAAAGTTTGCTAACCCCCTGATCCTAAATAACCATTCAATTCAAGGACAGATTTGACAAGCAACGTGCAATAACTATACACTGAAAATCACAAAACATTGCTGAGAGAAATTAAAACCTAAATGAATAGAGTGATATGTCATATTTATAAACTGAAAACTCATTTTTGAGGTGTCACTTCTCCCCACATTAACGTTTAATACTACACAATCCTGATCAAGATCCCAGCAGCCTGTTTTGTAGAAATTAATAAACTGGCTTTAAAATTTATATGAAAATGCAAAACACCTAGAGTAACCAAAACAACTTTGGGGAAAGAAAAGTCACATTTGGAAGGCTCCCCTACCTGGTCTCCAGGTTTACAATAAAGCTACAGAAATCAAGATAGTATTGTATTGCATAAAGACAGACAAATAGATCAATGAAACCAAACAGATAGTCCGGAAATACACCCACACATATATGGACAATTTATTTTCAACAAAGCTATCAAGACAGTTCATTGGGGGAAAGGAAGGTTTTTTTCACCAAATGATGCTAGAACAATTGTATAGCCAAAGGTAAGTGAGCATTCATTCACTTAAGCCTTAGTTCTCTGAATGGTGAATAGGGCCAAAGAAAATGCATATTTGGGGAAATCATTTGCCTTCTCTATTGTGGTTTATACTAAGGAACTGGGCAAAATTCCTCTTAAAACTTTGTTGATGAGGGTACCCATGTGCAGAAACATGGATTCTCAAAATGTCAGACCTAAACAGGACATCGGACTATCTCATCTGTGCCCCTTACTATACAAAAAATGAAGTTAGGGCTCATGGAGTTGAAGGAATCTCCCAAGGTCAGTTAAGAGACGGCTGACAGAAAATTAAAATTCAAGTCTGACTGGTGGGACACTCAGTTGAGTAGGACCCTTCCAACATTCAAAGACAGTGACGAACATCTTTAACAAAACAATCGTCCAAAGAGCAGAATGACTAAAGCAACATAAAGCATCTGGCCTCCTGGGTAAACACCCTGCCTTGTAGTATGGGAAACCCACAACCCGGTGACAGATCCCTGGGGACCCAACCCTGGGCGGATATGACATAAGAACCTTCAACATTACCTCATAGTGGGTGGTTACAAAGAAATCTTTAACATTACTTTTTGGTGCTGGAACTGGTGGAAACAACTTGGTCCATAAGTGACATCTGGAAACACAGTAAAGGAGGGAATTAGGTGAGCAAGAGCATCCTTTCTTGTCCTTAAATATCTACTCTAAAAATTGACCTAGTTAATCCCAGGACCTGCTGTTTCATAAATTCAAAATCTTTATTGACCAAGACTTCCAAATATCTACATTGTGATAATAGTTGAAGACCTTGAGGATACTGCAAGGCTCTGAGATGGCCTCTGAATCATCCAAGACAGACAGAATGGTAATTGCTTCATGTTGCTACCTGTTACCAGGCCTGATTTCTGAAAATGGGCGTCTGTGTCAAGTGTGTGGTGCCCTGTCTTTACCTTCAATGCTGGTTAGCAGCCCCTCCCCAACTGTGCTGGCTCACAGAGTTTACTTTCTTTTTCCTCTCCTTTGAACTCACCCCCAACCCATAGATGCCATCTGAATATAACATTTATAATACTGAAGTTGTTTAAAATAAAAGTCATTTTCAAAATTCTGAAAGGGCCAAGAGAACACATTCTTAAGCCTCCTAAATGGCACTTTGTCTTACTGAATGCTAAAATGTCTGAGGAATTCTTATGGGGAAATTTGCAAGTTCTAGGTTTGGTCCCCAGATCTGCATGGCATTTCTAGAATCTGTGTTTGACCTAAGAACAATCAGCCACTTGGGCCCAATGACTTAAGGGCCAGGGTGGGAGCTGGTACCTCATCACTGGGGATCATAATGAGGGAAGCACTGTGGCAATTTCAGCCTCCAGTGGGCTGTCTTCCTTTACGAAAAACTAAAAGGTGTGTGCTGGTGGCTCAACAAAGGCAACCAAGTCCTGAGTGGAAGGTGGTAAAGGAATCAAAAGAACATGAATGTAAAAGCCTTCACAGAAATACATAGACTGTTGACAAATTCAAGAAGGGGCTCGTAATGGCTGAGGGCTATGTAGTGCTCTGTCCAGTTTCTGTAAATCAGCTACTGGTGTTTTACACTTTTTGATTTGGTCCACACTCATCTTGGAAAGTCTGTCCAGAAGACACAAAAGTGCTGTAAATTCCATCTGATCACAAGAACACCAATGGATGCACAGCAAGAATGTAAAACCTCAATACTCAGACCCCATTGGAAGCACCCAAACATAAAGAATACCTACATTCTACAGATGAGGGAGAAAATTAACAAGAGGAAGCAGATGGTTGCCATAAGCACAATAAGAAACCATTCTGTCAAGGGCTTCTGTTCGTCGTTTCCTGATGAAAAAAGAAAGAAAGAAATCAGAGCTGGAATCAGTGGCAGGTAAGAGAAATGACTAGACTCTGGCATCAGAAAGCTTGGGTTTGAGTTGCCGGTGCTGGGTGACGCTGGGCAAGTAGTTTAGCATTCCCTGAGCCTTAGATTTCTCATCTGTAAAACGGGGGAATAATATCCATCTCCTAAAGTTGATATGAAGGTGACACAATTAATGGCAGTGAGGCCACTTTGAATCTTAAAACATTATTTACTCAATCAGTAGATATTTATGGAATATATTCTGTGTACTATGCCACTTGGATCTTGGAGCTTATCAGCTTTTGGTGAGTAGTAAGGTTTTTAGATGAAAAAGCTGCAAAAATGTAAGCCTATTTAGTAACCTAACCGCATTACAATCAAATATTTTACAAAGTTGGAAATTAAACTTTTACAGGAAGTATAGTATGGAATAATACTCATTGTTAACAATAAAGGCATCAGACCCTGAGGTCTTTACAATCTTAATTATCCTCAAAACACCTCTTACCATGACTCCCATTTCACAGACAAGAAAGTAGAAGAAAATTGGCACTAAGTCAGTATGGTATAAATATGTTGCGTGCCACCTTCCTTCCTAGTTAAATTTGCTTGTAATTTGTACTCAGGGACAGATTCTTCTATGGGCTTTGATGGGAGCTTTGGGGGTGTGTAATTTTTTTTTTAAGGTACTGGAAATGCATTCAAGAAAAACTCAAGGTCAAAAAAAAATGAATGCAAAAACCCGAGGTCATTTACCAAAGGGTGTTTGGTGTTTAAAGAGGTAACGTGCTTGTTAAAATGCATGATTCACTTCCAGAGAATAACGCCAAGCCTGAGTTATCTCGCTGAATACAAGCTTCCTTTCTGTGGTAGAGGCCACTCATTCATTCCTTTAGTCACTCATTTAAAAAATACTTATTAGGCTCCTGTTGTATGTTTGGCACTGGACAAGTTGCTGGGAGATGGGTTAAAGAACTCACGTGGGCCCTCCCCTCGTGCAGTTTAGAGTCTGTCACCGAAAAAGAGCACTAAGCAAAGAATGACACAGGTAACAATTTGATGACAGCTGCACTAAGTACTGAGGTGATGTTCAAACCACAGAGCACCAAGAGAAACAGGTCCCAATCTTCAGTTCCCCATTAATTGTTTCTTCTACAAAATGAGAAGTGGTGAATGTAAGTGGAACTTTCAAGTCCTTGTAAATATCCTGGAAGCTCCAAAATACTTCAAATCTAAAACGTTCAAGGTATCAAAAGGGAGAGATGTCTTGAGGATTTAATGCTAGTGAGTACAACTTTGCCTTGATCTCTTGCTTTTTTGCCTCCTGAGAACTCTTACTTGGGGTTTGTCTTCTACGTTCCAAAAGCTTTAATCTCTCCTCCTTCATCTCTTCCCGCCACTTTCAAATATTCATAGAGTCCTTTATCTTGAATAAGCCCTTACTTTTCTCTGCCATCACTCCCAACCATCATCACATACCTTCTTACTCTATTTCTCAGCCTAATTTCTTGACTAGGGGATTCAGGCTCTTCATTTCCCCATCACAGAAACCACTTTTTAAATCACTTGTAGTTTCCACCTAGTTGAATCCAAAGGACTCTTGGTTTCTTTTCCCAACTTTATTTTTCCTGGCCTCCCTCCTGAATTTCAGGCTTGACGATTGCGCCCACATTGAAACCAAGCCATTGGCTCTTTTACCTAAATATTCCTCTTCAACGACATTTCTCTCTCCCCTTTCTAATTTCAATTGACTCTCGCAGCTCAGCCTCGTCGAAAATGTCAACTCTTTGATATTTTCCACCACGGTCTCTTCTTTGAACTTCGAAAAGTTTGTTTAGCACAGCTTCATCTTATAAATCCATGCAATCTTCTCCCAGTTCTTTATTCCTGGCCCAGCCCTGGCACACAGCTACAATTCTAGGTCTTAAATTGCCCACATGTGAAACCCACTGGGATGTTTCTCAAAGTAGATGACATTCAAAACCAAATTCATGTCCTTCTTCACATCAAAACTACCCCTGCTAACATCCCCATCTTGGTCTCTACTCTCCCAAGTTCCCAAACTGGAATCCTTGGAAGTCACTTTGATTCTTGCTCTTCTGTATAGCCCCTGCCTCCTCTCCTCATTCTCTCAGTTTACATCATTAATTCATACCCAATCATAAATGCAAGAGAGGCATGCTTTTGTCTCATGCATCCATACCTAGTCTGGAAACCCAGTTCTATTCCCAGCTTTCTGTGAACGTGGCCATTCTAGGCCTCAGTTCCCTCATCTGTTAAAATGCAGGAGTGGAAATATATGACCCTTAAGATCCCTCCCAGTCCAGCACGTTTCTAGTCCCACTCACTCAGTCCAGGGCATTGTTATGTCCTGTACACTTACCTTTAACAAAATTAACTTTTGAAAAGTATATTTCCATTGCTGAAAGATTCAAAGTTATAGCAAAGTATAAAAGACTAAAATAAAAGTCATGAGCAACTGGAAGTAACTGATAGCTTATTTTCTATACATATCTTTATATTCGCTTTTTCTGACTGCTCATAGGTACTAGATGCTATGCAAAGTGTTTAACATACATTCTCAGTTTAATTCTCACAGCAATGCTTCGAGGTGGGCACTACTATCCTCATTTTACAGATGGAGAAACTGGAGCAGAGAAGGGCAGAATAAGTCGGCTGAGGGCAGGCAGCTGGAAGGCAGGGGAGCTGGGACTCAAACCTAGGACTGGCCTAGCAGTGATGCTCTAAACCATGATGTCGGGATCCCATTCCACTTCCACGTCCCCAAACTGAGCACACACTGCGTAGGTAGATGCCTCACTGAAAACATCCTAAGCATTTCTCTGTCACTGAACACTCTCCTGAGCATCATCTTCCCAGCTGGATACCACTTCCCTGCAGGGCAGCACTATCTTGCTATTGTGTCTCCACTGTCAGACATTGCTAGGTTTGCAGGCTGCATCCCAATAGAAGGGGGCTGCTTTGCAAACTACCATTCCTCTTGACTTTCCCTAGGCTCTAATTGGGACTGAATCACTTTATTAAAAACCTATGACCACAGGATTAAAAAAGTTTTATGTACTTATATCTATTATTCCACAAGCAGGCATTAGCTATACTTTGCAAAATGATGGAAAACAGACCCTCAGAGAGGCAAACCTTTTATTTTCTCAAATCGTGCAGCTCCTCAATGGTTCCAGGATTAATATTCAGTTGTCTGGATTGTAACCGAGTGCCCTGTTAAACCTTTTTTACTGCACTTGCTTATAGCTAATATAAAGAGCAACTGGGGTGAACGAATACTGTCAAATCAAATACTGTCTTGCCTTATTTCCCAGTCTGATTTCCTGAATAAGGGCTTCTGCCTGCTTCATTTCCCCATCTCTGAAGCTCACCATTCCATTATACAAGTACCCTAACAAGTACATCTGGAAAATCTAGCTTCATATACGTGGAATACGAATTTAGCAAGGGGTATGTCAGCAGAAAAAAAGCTATCTTTTTTATAACTAGGTTAAACAGACAGGTAAAGTTTGGGTCCTGCAGAAAGAATGAGCAGTGTTGCAAATATTATCGGGGTCACACACTCAGTCCCATTTGTGTCTCAAATTGTGCAATACCCCATAGCCTGACATGTCAAGTCCTGATAGTAGTACCGTTTACTTCTGACCATGATTACAAAAATCTTTTCAGTTAAACCACTCTCTAGTTATTCACTTCAGCTCTCACATTGATAAGCGAAGATTCTCACTGAATTAGCAAAAATATAGAGGCAACTCATTTTATTTCATTCAATCAAAAAAAGTTATTGACTCATGCAAGGTACTATGTGGGAAGAAGAGTCATGCTCACTGCCTGGAAGGAGTTGGCAAATTAGTCATTTCTCCTGGCCTGACTTCTGCAGTGTCCCAAAGCGCGTTAGAACTTCTCTCCTACCGCCAACTGAGAACAAGACTAACCCCCAGAGAACAGAGCCAAGGTCAGCTTTACCCTGAAGGAAACATAAACTGGCAGGTAAATTTAGTACAAGAAAAAGCTTTCACATACTTTCCCAAAATGGAAATTATTGTTGATGATTTACTGTTCAGTTATTTATTAATAAAAAAAATTTTGAGAACCAGTTATATAAATAAGTGAATTAAAATTAGCATTGACTCTGATTTCACCGAAGGGAGCAAAGGGGAACAGATCCCAGTGACAGCATATAACATTCAGGGCAAAATGATTAAGAATTTCAATACTGTAAAAGTTGGGAGGCCCCTGAATATATTACTCATTTGAATGCTGAGGTCTCTGGCCCTGGAGATTTTCTTAAGAACAAGCATTTCCAGGTAATGTGAACCTTTTCTCTAACTCAAGGAGAATGCCTTTCCTGCCATTAAAATGGAAGCCACAGATGTTTCTTTTCAAAAAATTGATGGGCACTACTATTTGGTTATGCAGAGATGAGTTTTAGAAAGCCAAAGTCCCAAAGCCTGTCCTTCTAAGGAAGAGAAGTCCTCATTCCTGGATGCTCTTCGTACACTGCCAACTTAGAGCATTTGGGGAGCTCAGCTGTCTGGTTACTGGTGAACTTGGCTTCTGTCGTTTTTGACACCTCAACCATTTGCCCTTAGACAATAAGCCAACTAATGAAAATTCTGCTACTGTTCTATCACCTGGGAGCGTAAATAGGGGGAAGAGGGAGGGGGATGGGATGGTGGCAGCCGAGAGGGCAGGAAGACGGAGGCACTGGGCCTGAATTAGTCCCAGCTCCGCCTCTGGCTGCCTTGGGAGCTTTGTCAAATCACTTCCCTCCTGGTGCTGCAGCCCCTTTTGTTCTAGAATTCTATGATCTATGTAGTTCAGACTAATAACTCCTAGGAGATCAATTTGATTTGGAGGCCTGCTCCACTTTAAATTGTCCATACAAGTATGACTTTCAGTGCTTCCATATTGATTTTGAATCTGATTTCAGACTCAACAATAGGTTTTGAGGAAA